CAGAAAATAAGTACACACTTACGAAAGAGCAATTTCTAAACTCGACTCATTGGTCAGGAGAATATCCGTTTGTCCGATTCATCCTTTTCTGGCCAGAAAGGATGAATATTCAGTACTAATTCTCGGACTCGATCATGCGGGCAAAACAGTACTTCTTTTGCAGTTTTTATTTTTTTCAAGACATACCTGGAACAAACAAAAACACGATTTAATGCAAATTATAAGTCAATGTCCTTGCACAAGATTACTTCCACCGTAGGATTAAATAGTAATTTTTTACATAGTGAGTAAAACATTTAGTTGGCCAAGTTACTCTTGAGGGCATTGTGATCAAGTTCTGGGACCTTGGAGGACAGACGGAATTGCAATCACTATGGGATAAATACTACTTGGAGTCCCATGGTGTTATATTTATAGTAGATTCTTCTGACCCAGGTCGTTTCGATGAATCCAAGGAAGCTTTCGGTAGCCGTGACTATGTCTTAACCTTCTAGATAAGATGATACAAAATCGCGCGCTTGAAGGAGTTCCCCTGCTCATCATTGCTAATAAGCAAGATCTTGACGTATGCCAATATTTATTTGTTTGATCTTGAATCGGATACTGCCGCCAATATCTTGTACATTTTTATAATATGCCATCATTCATGATTTTATGCTTTTAAATCTTCTTCGTGTGCATATTGTTTGTTTTGACTCCTCTGTGGTTTAGACAATTACTTTTCTGGTTCATCCGATATACTATGTTGCCTTTTTGAATTTTTGTTGTTTTTTTTTGTCTCTATTCTACCGTTTATCATTCTGCGGGTTGATAATACATACAAGCATACTTTTTTACTTCTAACCTTTTTTTTATTTTTAGCATGCCTTCCCTGTTTCTGAAGTGAAACAAGTATTTCAGGAAAGCGCACATCTTATTGGTACGAGGGATTGTTCGATGCGTGGAGCATCCGCGCTAAAAGGGTAACTTACTTTAATCGATTGTAGGTTGTTTTCTTAGTATTCATCTGCATGCTTTACTGAGCCTTTCCTCATGCCCTAAATCTGAGCATCCATCGTTTGTGAAATCATCTGTTAAATCCTGCGTAGCTCTAACACGCACTTATAATCGGTCTTTTTGAGCCGTGCAAAACGTACATCATATACCCGTGACGTTTTTTGTGCGATAAGAACCATCACCAAGTTTTTTTGCCTTTAAACTTCAAGTGTCCAGCAGAATTTGCAATGTTACGACCAACCCTAAATGCGAATCTTGTTCACTTGGTCGTGTAATTCAAAAGTATTACGGCTCCCTCGGGTATATTGCGACAACTGAGTGGTTTAAAGTAATCCGGTTCGCATAATTACTAGTGCTGCGTGATTTTAATTTAATTTTGGTCAAGTTCACTGCGACGCTTAAAGAGATGTTCATCTGCTTGTTTCTGCCACCTGGTTTATTATAATTAGTCAAATTGCGTAATACCAATTCTTAATCATGAGACCTTCCAATGGCGTTCTGTAGAACTTCGAGACACGTTGACATCCCAGGCTTTTCGCGGACGCATTCGTGACCGGAGATTACTCACCTCAACTTAGCCTTGCTTTGGCAATCCGGTGCAAATAGCCCTTAGTTTTAACCTAAGCTCTGCCCTCCCAAGTTTAAAACAAGGTAGTGAATACTTATTTACCATCAATTTGTTTAAAACCTAAGCTATGCTGATTCGCGCTTCCCAATGTAGTGTTTACCTTATTTATCCTTTTAGAGACGGTGTTAACGATGCGATTAGGTGGATGGCAGACAGGATTAAGAAAAACTCCAGTCGGCGCCCCCCCACTGTCGACTAAATGACGCATTAACAGTTTTATACATAAGCTGATTTTGTTCCCTTCCAGTCTGTATCGACAACATAGTATATGTAAATATATACATCCATAAATGCAAAAACCCTAATACAAACAATACTCTGAGGAATTGCGGATATCCGTGAGCTGATTCCATGTGCAACTTGTTAAACACCTCCGGGCAGAGTATTCCATAACTGTTCTAATTTCCTCTTCTGCTTGGCATCCATTTGAATTACTCTAAAAGATAAAATCCTGGCATAATTATAGGGCCACTTGACTGGTGTTTTCCTACACAATTGTTGAATTTATGGTGGACTTAGACGTTGTGTTTTCCCATCCATGTAAGTAACAGCAAATCCTAACATCAAATTGTTGTAATGAAAAACGATGCGCGTATAGAAGGCAAACCTGTTAGGGGTTACCCTTATGCCTTCCGTGCCCTCTGATGGAAGTTATCAATCGGCCAATAATTACCTCAAAAGTAGGCTACTATACAGTGCTGTGGTCGAATATAATGGGTTGACAGGATAATTTCAGGTGTGTACAAATCTGTCTGGGCCGCTAAGCATATTTTGATGGGTTCCGGTAAATTTAGCGGATATTTCGATCGACAACATCCGTAGGGTGCTGTATACTCTGACGTTAGTGCCAATGTGTACCGACAGTTTACATCGCACTCTAGCTCGGGACATTGATCCACTTTGAAACGGCTAATGGAAGTAGACGTGGTTGACGCAGAAACAATGGATGATTGGACAAATGAAAGCTACGTTCATCTGGGAATAAAGAAGGTTAAAATAATCGCCAAATTATGGAATGGGATAAATGCGGAGAGCCCGGTCGTCTTTATGGAGGCCCAAGAACGTTAACGATTGTTTAGGTTCCGAGAAACCGGAGATCTCATTCAGGTTGCATAAATGCATTCAAATATCAAAAGTAGCATTACTGAATTGCAGAAAACGCAATGCTCATGACTTATTAGTCAATGTTACGGTTGCTGAGACGAAGATATACAACGGTGGCTTACCTAAGGTGGTCGCCAAATTGTCGCACACAACAAACCAAAGCCCAACGGAGCGTCGCGTGCACGCGCCAAGGAAGGTTCACATCTGATGCATATCGATAATAGCTAGCATCGGTCAAACTTGATTCGTCAGTGGTTATTGTGTTTTGGCGAGTTGGGTTACACATTGCAGACGATTCGTCGTTCTGGTCAAGGTCAACGGCCGAGAAACCCTGAGGAGGCGTGAGGCCAACAAGCTTCAAATGCAACTCCACGGCCTACATTCAAAACAAGATTGTTGCCATGCCCACAGCCGAAACATCAGGCTTGGTGGAAGCTCGCGACCTGATGAGGCGACAAAAATTTCGCATACACCAAAGTCCAAAACAAGGTAATGCCAGATTCATACCCCACCAAGTTACTTCACCGTTCCAGAGTAGGGATATAAAAGGACAATCGTTTTCGCAGCTTGGACTGACTTGTATAGATATGAGTCAAGCTGATTATAATAAACAACGTCAGGAAGATCAGTCCCACAAAAAAACAACGCAAAGAGGGAGCAAGCACGCTGTAATCGCCATTTCCGCTATGCCAATCGAACGGCAAGCTTAAATATTCGGAAAGTATAACGCTTGAATCTTACAATTTAAACGGAAAAACTAGGACCAGATCATTTAGGTTTTTTCATAATGCAATGCCTAACTTTCAGTGTTTGAGAAAACAGGGCTGCAGACGCCTTCAGGCGAGGTTGTGGAAGTCATTAGTGTGTTCAGGTGTCCACAGAGATCTGTCACAAATACAC